CGGGCGTGCCACGAACAACCTTCTGGGTTTTCAGGCAAGGTCGACCCGGCACAAACACGGCCAGGGCCCGCCGTGTTGGCACGTTGGCACGGCCTGCCAGGCACGGCCCGCGTGCCCGCCCAGAAAAACGGTAATATTACCGTTTTTTGCAACGGCTAATTGCATAATTAGCCAAAAAAACGGCTAGTTTTTGGCCAATTTGCTCCCCAAAAATTCAATAAATACCCACCTCCATTCACTTTTCAAATCACAAAATCACAATCTTTTCTTCTTATCTCTTAATCTCTTATATTCTCTAAATCTCTAATAATTCTTATTTTCTTAAATTCTCTAATTATTCTCTTAAATTCTCTTATTATTTTCCTAATATCGGAAAAAATTAAAAAGTTTGTAATCGTAATTAGTGGAGCGTTGAAGCATGGTTGTAAGATCTAAACTAATCTTTAATTTATTATTGTTTTATTGTTATTATTAAAGTAACCTTGTTTAATTATTATTGTTGTTGTTATAATTGTTGTTATTAATTATTATTATTGTTACAATTATTGTTATTATTTATTATTGTTGTTATTGTTATAATTGTTGATATTAATTATTATTATTGTTATTTTTATTGTTAAAATTGTTGTTATTAATTATTATTATTGTTAATCACTTTTTATTAAAAATCTAATTGTTAATTATGGCATCGAACAACCCATCTAGGGGGGGGGGGGGGGAAAGCCGACTTGGCCGTAGTAGTAGTTCTAGGGAACCACCTAATACAACGAGCCCCCAAATTCCGAGTCCAACCAATGACCCCGGTAACTTCCCCCCGGGCTATGAGCCATTTAGACACGATGGTACTTCAGGTTTTCAACCCTATAATATGTCGGGATTTCCACCACCACCACCAAACCAATTTCCACCACAAAACCAATTTTCACCATCAAACCAATTTCAAAATCCACAACAATTCCCACAATTCGGTCAATTCCCACCTAATTATTTTGGTGATCAACAAAACTATTATTCTAGCCAAGAAAGTACCCAAATTCCCTCTGGTTCTACCCCTTCTACTACTACTACTAACCCAAACACACATTATGAATGGTTAACCGAAAGTGAGATGGTACTTTTGAAAAACCGAAGGAGTGAGGTATGGCGTCATTTCCTCCTAAATAAACCCCACCGAACACATGCAAAATGTAAAACATGTAATGGTGTATTCTCGGCAATGTCCAAATCCGGGACGGGACACTTAAGTAGACACATGAAAGCTTGTGCACAACCAGCTAGTGATCCAACCCAGCCAAAAATTTCCCAGTTCCATCCATACGACTTTACCTACAACTATGAGAGGGATAGGGATGAACTAGGAAAAATGATAGTACACGCCGAACAACCTTTTCTTTTCTCGGAAAGTGACCCATTTAACACTTACATTAATAAAGCACTACAACCCCAACATAAAAGAATCTCTAAGAAAATCGTTCGTTCCGCCGCCATGAAAAACTTCCTAGAGTACAAATTGCGGTTACAAGCCGAATTGAGGGACCTTAACTGTAGAGTGTCTTTGACAGCCGATGCTTGGGATAGTGGTTATAAATATCACTATTTATGTGTAACTTGCCATTGGGTAGATGATCAATGGTTGTTACAAAAAAGAATAATACATTTCAAAATGCTTGAAAACCCACACACCGGCATTAACATTGCTCACCATTTAATGCAAGCAATAGACGAATACAACCTTCGAGATAAATTGATGTCTATGACTTTTGACAATGCAACCTCTATGACATACACAACTAATCTTGTCAAACAAAACTTAACCGATGTAATATTAGACGGTGATGCTCTTCATACTAGATGTGTTTGCCATGTACTTAACCTATGTGTACAGGATAGAGTTCGAGCAATTGGGCCATACTACAACAAAATCAGAGATGCTATTATGTCTATTAATAGCTCGAACATGATGTACCAAGAATGGAAGTGTTTTCTAAGACAACAAAAGATAAGGGCAATAAAAATCAAAACCGATTGCCCAACTAGGTGGAATTGCACCTATGACATGTTAACCAAGGCAATTGAGTACAAGGGCCCATTAACACTATTTTACAACCAAAAATTTCCACAAACTGCTTTATATGATGATGATTGGTATAACTGTGAAAGATTTATGCAATTTTTACAGTTATTATATAACATGACGTATTGTTTTTCTTCTGTTTACAATCCTTGTGCTCAAAACTTTCTTTCTAATGCATGTTTACTCGGCCAACTTTTCGCTGATCATCGCAACCAAAGTGATTATGATCAGTATCTTCCAGCAATGGAAACAAAGTGGCGTAAATATTATAGTGAAATTCTTTTGATTTATATTTTTGCATCCATATTAGATCCTAGGCAAAAGTATGAAAACATCTTTATGTTAGTTGACATTTATTTTCAATGCATGAATCTTGACGATGATGTAGAAACCTATAAGACTCATGTGAAGGATCAGATTTTTGCTTTATATAGAGTCTATGAAATCAAATATGGCACCGTTCCTCGCACAGGCCCTTCCCAACCATCCAAAAACGTAAGTAAGAAGGCCAAACATTTATTTTCACAAGCTACTAACTTGATTTCTAGGTTTTCAGGTGATTCATCCATCAGGAGAACGCAAGCGACGTCTCGGAGTTGCAGATGTACCTGAGTTACGACTTCACCAAAGGCATGGACGACGATGAGATAAACAACCTCGACCTCCTTGCATGGTGGAAACAACAAAGCGGGAAGCATCTAACTTTGGCGGCAATGGCACGAGACATTCTTGGTATCCAAGTCTCCTCTGTTGCCTCCGAACGAGCTTTCAGCGCATCCGGAAGGGTTCGAGACGATAGAAGAACAAGTCTAAAACCCGAAACACTAGAAATGTGCGTGTATTGCAAAGATTGGTTGGATGCGGAAAATCGCTCACAAGACCGTTCTTACGAGGACAACGACAACGATAAAGGAACCTCCGCTTCCGACCGTTCGGGTTCAGCTAGTTCCCAATCTATCAAACTAGCCGATGAAGCCGAAACCGACGACGAAGACGAAGACGAGCAACAAGAAGAATAGACAATTTGGAATATTGTACGATTTTGATCATTATCAATATTATCATTTTCCAATTTTTGTTTAATACCATCATTGTACAATTTTTATCATTGTACAATTTTCTAAACTCAAGTAATAATAATATGAAGTACGCATTATTCACATCCAAAGTCCAATTTGTCTTTTTTCCCCGTTTTGTTATAATTTGTAAATTCATATTAAAAAAAATAAAAAAATTATACCAATTAGGCAATTACTAATACAAAATTATATTTAATAAATCATAAACATTAAATTTTAAAGTAATAGTATAAAGTAAATATATAAATATAAATATTGAATTTACAAAATTACAAAACATAAATATTCAACTTAAATATACCTTATAATTTTATAACTTATAACTTATAAGTTATAATTATAATTTTATAACTTATAAATTATATACATTATAATATAAGTTATAATTTTATAACTTATTAAAAAAAAATAATCTGGAAACTGCCAAGCCCGCAGCCAGCCCGCTAGGCCAGCACGCAGGCCGGCATGGCACGAGGCTGCCAGGCACGAGGGCCGTGCCAGGCTGTGGGCTGGCCTGTTTCGGCACGGCACGACACGAAGTTTTGGGCACGGCGGCACGACTGGCACGGCACGCCGTTGACCGTGGCTCGCCAGGCACGGCTCGCGGCGGCACGGCACGACACGATGCCCACCTTTAACTACATATGGAGTAATTCACTTTTAATTAACCAAATTCCGCTATTTTGTTTCTAATATTCACCCGCAATCAATCAAACTCCATTATTTTCACCTTTGATCAAGCAAATGCTACTATTTCTATGCAAAAGGCAACTGATAATTTTATTTACTTAAAAAAAATCAGTGAGTGATTTCAATAGTTGGAAAGTTGATGAGCAGACGTTATATCTATATATTTATTATAATATTTGGGGACCTACTGTAGTTTACAAAGGAAAAAAAAGTTGAGACTCAAACGAATGTTACAGATTCGACCGACCACATTTCAGAAATGGCAAATAGCATAATCATACCAAATGCATATCTTACCCGTATGCATAAGAATCAATCTATGCACATCTTACGAATCTAGTATAGTGAATAAAATGATAAACACATGATCGTGTTAAGCATAATAAGAATTATATTATAAAAAAATCTATGAAGAAGAGCATGTAATCAATCCTTCTGCATCACCTAATAGCGGTACATTCTATTCTCGGCTTCGGAAATTTTGATCCTCAGTTCAGTTAGGAAATAGGGAAATTCCATAAATGGATAGCTAACGCCTTACATTGTATTATATCACAAAAAGCGACTAATAAGTCTGTCATTTCACATATAATAACTACCTAAGACAACGGATTACACTTTCATTGAGTGGATTCAAGAGTCTATTTCAGCTAGTTTTCTCTTTGAAAACTCTCCCTATTAAGAAGTACTAGCATAGAAAATCCATTAAAAACCCCATTAGGCCATTATATACGAGTTCCTCCGTCTACAAATAATTGTAATTCTTCTCACAAATGCCAAGAAGTTTTTTATTATAATGAAAGTCTAAAACCATGTGATGTGGACCCCTCCACTAACTTTCTTTCTCTCTTATTCTCACATCAATCTAATAAATTCTTTCATATGCATGTCCAAACCTAACAAGAAGATCATACGTAGACAAAAGTAGTACATTATATACCTAAAATACTACTAGTAATTAAAAAAAAATCATGAGAGTAAAATCTTCAGAGACTCGTAAGAATGCACATCTATTCATCCCTCCTAAAACACGACGAGTGACATCTACTTCAAGACGGAAGATTAGTCTGTCCTGTCCAAACTAATACAGCATCAATAATAAAATGCTTAAAAGCAGTGGGAAAGTTGACATATAAACGAAATGCAAATGTAAAACTCACAAATGACAACTAGAAGATGAAAAGCTTTTTATTGTTCATCATTAAACAGTTAATCACAAATCCAATGAAAAGCCACAAACTTGAACCGTAAATTAGAGTAAGGTTTCAGTACCACTCCATGACATGATAAAATAAGAATCTGATGTCTGCTAACCACAAAAGAAAAAAGACAGTTTCTGACATGATAAAGCCCTAATAATAATAAATCATACCATATCACAAAGTCACAAAGTTAGGACAGTACCCTTAAACCCCATATTCAATTAGGCAGCCTGAAGTATGAACGCTCCTTTTCTTATGATAAAAGGATTCCTTTAGAGTGGACATCCTTCTCTTCTCTAAAAAGCAATTTTGACCAAAATGAGCACTATATCATACACTACCACAGCACTTCAAATTACTATTCTATTCATCTTTCATTTTCTTCCCCAAACTTTGTGTTAATTTTGTATTTTGTTTCCCAGTCAGCATTGGATCGGATATCCTAAACACAGACGCTTCTTCAATTACAGTAAACATCCACCCAAAAAGAAAATTCTTTTCCACGTAAAATTAACAAAGTTCGAACATAAAAAAATCGACCTCTTTTCGATAACTATCATTCCTTACCTATTCCTTTTCGAGTTAGATAGAGACCCTATAAACCTAAACGGCAAGCGTAATACTTTCTTGTGCAACCTCTCTTTCCCTGCACCTCATCCTCTAATAAAAGTGATTCCTTGCATGTCCCACCCCTTTCAACTTTAAAATATTCCCTCCACAAATACAAAAATGATGCCACCTAAACTTTTAAACAGTTGCACACCTGCATCTCAAAGCCAATTTTGAGGTTTTCAGCATCTTCCTCATTTCCTACAAGATGGCTTCAGGATTAGAGGTATGCCTGCATACTCAGAATTTAGTAATAGCATATATTCTCAGTTTTCTATGAATTTTTGTCTTCTCTATCTTCTAAGGTTGTTTCAGTTTTCCTGCCAAAACTATGCAGAGACCTCAAATCACCGAGATAAATGTCCGCATGGATTGCAATGGGTGTGTGCAGAAGATAAAAAAGGCACTGAATGGCATCAATGGTAAGCAATTACAGAAATTTTAGCTGGTTTTTCATTTCCTTCTCATTGAAAGAAAACCTATTTTTATAAGGACCGTTTATATATAATAATTCTGCTTGCCTACAGGGATATATGATCTCTACATCGACTTTCCCCAGCAGAAGTTAACAGTAATTGGATGGGCAGATCCTGAAAGAATCATCAAAGCTATAAAGAAAGTCAGGAAAGTTGCTACCATCTGTTCTCACACAGAAGCACCAGATCCTAATTCCCAGCAAGCTGAACCATCACCACCAGATGGCGGAGCCCCATCATCAGATGCAGGGGCACCACCCCCAGATGGAGGGGCACAACCTCAAGATGCGGGAAACGCTCAGCCAGCAGAGCCTCCAAAATCAGAAGAAGCACCCCCACCACAGGAACCACCAAGTGATCAACAACCACCACCACAACCACAACCACCTGAAAATCCACAGGCTCAAATTCTACCACCTGAATCAAACCCTCCAACTGAACCCCAACAACCACAGCAAGCAGACGCTTACAGACCAAGGGATGTAGAGGAGGTTCATGTAGTATACCACAATCCACCTGACTATAGTTATCGATATGGTCATAGCAATGGGTATGGACCTGGATACAGTCATAGTTATGGTGGACACTGGAGCAGCCAACCAGGACCTAGTCATAGACACGAGCAACCCCCTCAACCTATTTATCACAAACAACCACATCAATCTGTATATCATGAACCACCACCTCAACCTCTTTATCATGAGCGTCCTAGACCCATCTATCATGAACCACCACCTCATCATGTTTATCATGAAACACCACCTCGTCTTGTATATCATGAACCACCATCTCGACCTATATATCGTGAACCACAATCACGACCTATTTATCATGAGCCACAATCACGACCTATTTATCATGAGCCACCATCTCAACCTATTTATCGAGAGCCACCATCTCAACCTATGTATCATGAATCACCATCTCAACCTATTTATCATGAACCACCAACTAGAACTGTTTACCATGAACCACCACCTCAACCTCCTCGCACGACTCACAGTTACAACATGTACAGACCATCATCTTCCATCACAGAATACCAATATGTACGATCACCACCACAACAAGCAGCCTATGGTCTGACGGACCATTACAATATGGATTCATATCGCAATAGCGCAGCAAGTAATGGGAATGTTACTTCAATTTTCAGCGATGAAAATCCAAATGCATGTACAATCGTATAGGTTCAAGAGTTTCATTGCGAATGGAGAATCCTATTTCTTTGTCCATTCAGGTTGATAGGTTGGAAAGCTAGTGGGCCATGGCATGACATTAAGTGGCAATCAATTATTGTATAAGCCTGTGATAATGCCGTGACAAGAATCAGATTCTTACTTGTGGTTAGAGAGGAATTGATGCGATATTCTGCCTTACCTAGAGGTCTAACATACAGCCTTATAAAACAAATATATAAAGAAACATGTGCACATTTTTGTTTTATACTAGGGCTTGTACTTTTAGAAGAGAAGATACTGTCTAGGTTAAAGTCATCAGCAAAATGGTCTATCTAGGTGCTTTAACATGATTGAAATGTGTAAATTTCACAATACATTTTTTAATCGAGTTCTATATACTAAATGTAGAAAGAAATACATGATTTCCCTACCATATAATTAATTTAGTCAGAAGCAATACATTTTCCCTTTTCAGTCTAACCATATGATATAACTTTGCAGTGGCCTGAAGGTGAATGAACAAGTCCAGTTCACTAAGTAAGAAAAATTAGATATATAGAGATTTCTAGCGCACTAGCAATATATCTTGATGTGCAATGAATTGTTTTTACCTACCAGCCAATATAGATAATTAGTATTGCGTTGATCATATACTGATTAGCACCAATCAGCTCCAAATCTAAAATGCAAGCACATAACCTCAATACAAGCACATATCAATATATATAAGACGTAAAAGCCTGATGGACTTATTAGAAATATTCAACTATGACTTTAAAATTTTATTTTTAATTTTAACAGCAGGATTCTAACCTAACAGATAGCCTGTAAATTTACCAGTAAATCATATAACTTCAATTGAAAGCCCATAATTTTGGGTTCCCACACCTTCTCACCTCCCCTCACAAGCCTCACTCCAATCAACAGTATCCAAACAATGAAATCAAAGTCTTTAAACCAAAAGGAGATGAAAAGGGCAAGTTATTCAAAAACTAAAAAAATTGCCAATTAAAAACTTTAACATTGCTTGATGAACCTGGGATGGAGGTGGGGGGCTTAACATAATGAAACAGTGAATTTGTTCCAGCTAAATCACGCAGTCAAAGCTTTTATAGGCCAGAATTCAAAACATATCAGAAAGAGGTTTGTGAAAGGTTTCCTGACAGCAGAAACTTGGAGCATTTGGGATGAGGAAAACAAATTTTGTAGAAGACATGTTAGACAACTTATCTACTACTGTCAGAATGAATCCAGACACTGCACAACTGAGTTGTTTTTCTTAGAATTGAAAAACTTCAGAATATTTCTGTGATGGGTGATAATTTTGTCTTTGGTACATGTAGCCATTTAGCTACCAGGCTTATCTGGACTGGATGAGCTTTTGCAACTATATATCCTAGCACACTAGGACTTTCTGTATAAAAGACTATTAAACTGGCTATTATCTTTCAAAACAAAGTCCTTAGAAAATAACATCACATTGCAAAGTATTAAAACACCAATAACCAATCCTAGGTTTTTAGATATTCATCTGAATATCTGGATGTACTTAAAAGTTATTTTTAAAAAAGCTAAAAAAATCTTAGAAAAAAGGTAGGAGCAGAAAGATCACCCTTTTATACTTCTACAAAAATCAAATAAAATGTGACTTAATCCACTTCTTTACTCCCCCATCTTAATTACTTATTGACTTCTATAATTCTATCTATGTCCTTGAGACAAAAGGTTAGTTAGGTAGTTTTGTTGGCAGAATGGCAGGACAAGGTAAGTTGCTCAAAGAAGACAAGGCATAAAACTATTACATACAACTACATTAAGTGTTTCTAAGATTATACCTATATATTAAAGAGTTGAGTATTACATTGGTTTATAAAACTAACAAGTAGTATTGCTGTACTGGTATGAATTCAAACGAAAAAGTAGTGGTCTATTGAAGTACTGATATTCTAAATGATTAGCCAATTCATATAACCAGTGCAATCAATATAACATAATATTCTTTTTTTTTTTTGAAAGGAATATAACATAATATTCTATGTAAACTAATATTATTGTAAATTTGTAATATATTGTTATACAAGGGTTTATGTGTAGTCATGATTGGTTGGCTTTAGTTATTGGTCAAGAGATTTATTTTGCCTCAACGTGGAAGGCCAATCAAGCAGTGGTGATGGTGCTTGGCTGCAATTTTCTAAGATATGGCAGTGAGATCAATCAGGACAGAGGAGACTACAGGACACTAATATAACTAGTTGGTTCTCAACTGAACACCACGTTGTTGAGTTGGTTCAAGCTAGGATAGAAAGGGAGGTGGGAGCCTAGGATATGATAAGGAAGTTGGTAGTGCTATGCATTCACCTCTGCCTTTTCTCCCCCTATGCAAAGAATTTGATAGCATTGTTTTAGCTATAACAAGTTGACTAAACCTCAGACTATCAAGCAAAGCCACGTCATGCAACATCATTCATACGAATGATGCGTCGTTATGTCACAGCCAAGTCGACGGCGCTGCATGGCAAGTTAAAATAAAGGATAATCCTTTTTAAGCAGATAGGATTTAAATACAGGTATGGAACAAGAAAGTGTGGAGGGACAAAATGGAATAGAGAGATATATATAATAAAAAAATAATCTATCAATATTTTTACACATTGAGAGAACAAAAATTTCATACAGTATTGGACACAAAATTGTGCAGTTATGGCAAGGCTAGAAAGAGACATACTGCTTTGCTGACATTTTCCAGGGTTCTTGCAGAAGATGGTAACCAGATGGAGGAAAACCAGATCATCTCATCATTAGATTGTTAAGTATCAGGTAGTTCGCTGACATTGAGCTGCAAAACAGACAAAGCCATGCATTATGCTCTAGCAAACACTCCTGACCATTGTACTAGACTGAGTATAATATTAAGAATAGCTCAAATGATAGACTTAAGCAGGATTAACATCCACTATTTAAGTTCACATCGACTGTATAAGTATGCCTGCAGATAAAAAAAATTCCAATTTAACACAAATCAGAATCCAGTGTGATCTATCAATGTTCGAATAGCCCACCCAAGCAAGAAACTTAAGCCACATTCTTGACTTGACTTAACTATCACCACAATTGCATGATATTTTTCACACCTCACGAGATGTCTACTACTACACCCAAAAAAAGAAATTATCTATAACTTTTTAAAACTGTCTTCCACTGCCTCAAACAAAAAGGAATTGTCTCTTCTTGGTTGTTCTTCTAAAAACCTTCCCACTACCTGAGAAGACTTATTAATCCAGGTCAAATCATGCTGTAATAAGATGAAGAAGAGCTTCTTGTGGTTAAACATTTACAGATGTCATTATGTTACAAGAGGATAGATTTGATGCAAGACTTATTTAATTGATTTGAATAAAAGAAAAAACATCCAAGCCCAAAAAGCATAAATTATGGAAGGGAACAGAGCTTTGAAGCAATGAAATACAATCTCTTCTTCCATAAACACAGCCACACTTCCATAGCCCCACCTTCTCCCCCCACCCTCCTCACTTAAAAAAAGGAATTATGCCACACAAGCACATTTGATACTACCTCCCCCCCCCCCCCCCCCCCCCCCACAAAAAAAAAAAAAAAAAAAAAATCATAAAACAACTGAAAAGATATTGTCTTGTTTTCAAAATAACAGATACAGCCTCATAGAAAGAGAAGATATACAGGATAAGAGATAACCTCATCACTTAATCATCATTTTCTTCACTACTACTTGCAGATTCATCACCTTCTTCCCCAAACAGAACCTCATCAACATTTTCATCTTCATCTTCATCTTCACTTTCTATCATCTCATTCTCAGGTAGTGAGGATTGATTCTTCAATTGGGTAGCCTTATCGATCTATAGCAGGATACATGTAATAAGGCACTGATAGAAAAAGTGAATCCACCAAAGAACATAACATTACCTACCTGTGCAGTCACAAGCTGTAAACGGCCAGATAACTGCAACAATGACTGAGTAGCTAACCCCTTTGATTTAGCAATCTAGAAAAAAATAAAAAAAAATCAAACCATGTCACAAAGAAAAGGGAAATACACGTGTCATGCCTACTAATAATATAATGTTCTAGATTAGGTTATCTAAAGAAAAGAGAGAGTAGAGGTTGCAACAATAATGCACCTATGTATTAAGAAAATGTTGGCTGATGTCATGGTAATAAGTTCAGCTCTTCCCACATGAAGGTATGATGATTTCAATTTTCAACCTTGTGTCATTACACAAGCAACAAGACCTCACATAACATAAGCTTCTTTAGTAAATTAAATACAATCATTATTGATAAGAGAACAACAGCTCAACTTAAAGAAGAATGCTGGGCTGGTTACATGCCAAGTATAAAATAAGACACCATATAGTCATGAGGATGCTAGGATCTAAAGTACCTTATATAAAGAAGAAATTGTAGCATTCTCTGGTTCCTGAGACAAAATGTGATGACCATGATGCACCAGTATATTATAAATCCATGGAAGAACATATTTTCCACTGCAGGACCTGTTCGTACCAAAGAAAATTCCAAAAAGTTTAGTTCATTGTCTTAAATAACTAATTTTGGTAAGCATGTATCATTGAGACTAAAAGGTGAGAAGCTAATTCTAATTTTAGCGTTTATGATGGTTATATAAGGCTCGCAAGTTCATTCCAATTTCTAGCAAGAAGCCTCCTCCTAGCATGTCCACTTAAAAAAGATCTTTTACGAAAAGGATCATAATGTGCATCTAGCAAAGCCACTTTATTTGCAAGGGTAATTTTCATTAAATTAGACACATTTTAAGTTCAAGAAACCAATATATCGAGTATGGCTGTACTGCAACATCATAGAACAACTTATGTAATGCCTTGGAACTTCCCGTTCCTTTTTTTCTTTTCTATTACGAGGGATTGTTAATAATGTTAGTGTTTCAAAAGGGTAAGCTACATAAAAATATATATACAATTAACAAATAGCCTATTTATGGGGAAACATCAATTACGCAACTAAGAAACTTACCTCGACTGCCACATGTCGACAAAAACATTCAATATCTTGGATGCATCACTAGGTTGCATAGACAAGATTGCTGCCCTCATCTACACAAAGATAAATAAGGTTAAGTAATCCATAACGGGTAAAAGGTGCAGCTGACTAATTACAATCATCCTTGAAGGTATGGTACATAATCCATGTGAAAGAATATCAACCTTCTTCAGAGGTACAGTAGTTTCAATATCGATTTCCTTTAGTAAACTAGAAGCTCTTGTTGATTTGGCTGTAGTAACATCCAAGTCACTGATTATACCCAGAGTTTTAAGTCTATTCTCCATAGGGCAAGCTGTAGCATCAACTCCTGGAACATCAAAATCGGTT